CTATATATATATATATATATACATTAAAGTGATTACGTCCCCGTAAATAGTACAAGTAAAAAAAAAACATTTTCACTTTTTCATTTTTTCAAAATGTAAGTAATTCTGGTCACTTTTTATGGTTAAATTGCTGCATTATACTTCCTATTTTACTATAGTGTTCGATGTAAACATACACTCGTGACTCATACATAGCCCATAGCAAGCAATTAATGTTAGGATCATAATATCAAATCGTCCAGGTTTTTTGGATTTTTAACTAGTTGAGAAACAATCTTATCAGGTAAGAATTTGACGATACATTTAGTCCCGTTAGTACTTACATTTAATGTTAATAAATAGCAACAATTTTTTTTTAAATATACACCATAGCAAATTCGTGACGTAGTCAATTTAAGTGTCGCACGCGCTCCGACCACGTGCTAAATCGCTTTCCGCATTTCTTCGTTTAAGCCCGGCGCACACGTGAGTTATTTTACTCAAGTAAAATGACGCATGAGTCATTTTACTCACGTGTGCGGCGGATTTTCGTTAAGTAATTTGACTCTTGCGTCATTTTACTTGATTAAAATAACTCACGTGTGCGCCGGGCTTTAGCAAGGCAATGCGGCAATTAAGCATTTCGCGAGGTTGGTGCATACAAACAAATACTTTGGAACTTTGGAACGTTGGCTGTCGAAAACAGGTAACCACGCCTATGGTGCAAAAGCTTACTCTCGTTTCCTATCGAACATGTCGGATAACCTATAGGCTCGGCGACGCAATTTTCGTAAACAGACTTGTTTGTACAGGAAGCGTGACGATCGTCATATTATAACTCGTGATGGGGCCCGTGATGACGGACCGTATGATTTTTACCTGCGCGAATGCTCAAACCACTACTGTGGTCACTAACGTTGTGCAATATAAACTTTCGTAAGAAGACTCGGAAGCTGACGAGTGACGTACGATTGACCGGAATGCTATATATACATACTGCAGTGCTCGTGTCAAATGCTGAGACACGTACTACCCGAAACAATCGCCAAGGCTACACCCACGGAGCGAGCAGCAACGCAGGCGAGTTGACTACCAGAAACGCCAGACGTATACGCCTACGAGCATAAATTCGGGCAGGACAGCTTCTCCGCGCCATCGTCGACAGGGCATCGAAGCGACTGACGCCGCGGGCGTATGTCATAGAAATCCAGGACGGGGTTATGTTACACACTCACTGCACATAAATCGACGTCAAAACCTTTGCCGTGACGCCTAACAAACGCCTAACAAACTTCTCTGCGTGTGCGTGCGTGCGTGCGTGCGTGCGTGCGTGGATGTGTGTATGCCCGCGCGTGCGACCACCATGCTGTCGTCACCGCTGGGACGTGCTTCCACCGCGGGCGACACGACGGAGCGCAACACTGGCGCGGCGACGTCGTCGACGTCGTTCGGCGATTTCGTGTGCTCGCTGGCGCACTTCCTCTGCACGTGGGGCTTCATCGTGCTGCTCGCCTTCGGCGTGGTCCTCCTCCTCAACAGCGACTCGCTCGTCTGGCTCGGCTTCATGCTGTGGGGCTTCACCTGGATCTGCGCCTGCTGCACGCGTCGGAGCAACGTGCGGCAGTCGCTGACGGGATGGATGGCGGCCAGGCGGGTGAGCAACTCACGTCGTCGCGTCGCCGCCGCCTCCGCCGAGGCGGGAGACGAACGTCGGCAAGTGGCCGCCGCCTCCGCCGAGGCGGGAAACTCACGTCGTCGCGTCGCCGCCGCCTCCGCCGAGGCGGGAGACGAACGTCGGCAAGTGCCGACGATCAGCAATCAGGTGGGTTTCATAGACGTGCCTCCGCCGTACGACATCGTAGCCGGGAGGCTGCCCACGTACGAAGAGGCGATAGCCGGGAAGCTGCCCACGTACGAAGAGGCGATAGCCGGACTCCTTCAGCCAGCGCCTGCCGCCAACAACACAGTCGGAATGCCGGTGCAAGCAGACGAATACGTGCCCACACCCGGTCCCCCAGCCTACAGCTTGGTGGATGAGCAAAGCCCGGCGACTGTCGGGCAGTCGTCGCACAGCAGGGAACGAGATGGGGGCAGCTCCGACGTCTAGCTCCCGACGATGCTTCGGAGGATGTTAAAATGAAAGTTAGACTACACACCGTTATATCGGGGAAACCCCTTCCTGCATAGAACCTTCGATATATATACGTTAAACTATTGTCGCAACTTGATCTATCTCAGGTGTAAAACGATGTGTTTGCGGACTCCGCGCGCCAAAACACAGCTGCACCGTGATGTGACTTTATTATACGAGTGAGAACGCTCACTAGTCAGGTGGCTAAACAAAATGATGGGGACATTCCGGATGCGCCAAACTTTTTTCATGTGCTATCCATCACCATAACTTTCAATTTGTGATAGGAGCCACTTCAACAAGATAGAGGAAGGCGGCCATCTTGGATTCCCATTTTGATGCAAATATTTATCTCTCGATGCGCTAAATAGTTTAATTAATTCCTCACCCCAGAAAATGTATGTTTAGACATTAGGTTTGCCCTCCTAAGTGACATAGAAGCCGAGATATTGACATTTACAGGTTTATCCATAGCGGCCATCTTGGAATCCAAGATGGCCGCCTTCCTCTATCTTGCTGAAGTGGCTCCTATCAAAAATTGAAACCTAAGGCACTGGATAGTATATGGAAAAAGTTTGGTGCTTTTATCCGGCATGTCCCCATCCTTCTCAAATCTGGGCCTAAGCCACCTGACTACACCTCTAATTCGACATGGATGTACAGGCGTGATGTGGGAAAATGCGGTTTACTCGTTGATTTGTGATAATGTGCAAACCGTTGATAGCGAATTGCTTTCTATCTGCTCATATATTTGAATGGTTTGTGAGGGGCATATATTTTACAAACGGCAAAATGATGCAATACAATTCTTCTATTATTTTAATGACTCAGGTAGCAAATGTACAAACGCTCACATTGCATCATTTACGATCTGCATATTTATAATTATAATATGAGTATTATGTCACGCGCACAAACACGTGCATACTCCTTGTTTATAGTTACTCTATAGCTAGTAGCTATAGCTTAGGTCACACTGTACAGCGAGATAAAGAAAGGTAGAAAATGTTAGAAAATAAAAAAATAGGTGAATGAACGTTACTTGATTTAATCACTTGAGCTTAGTGACCATTGAAAGAGTAACAGGTTGATACTGGACTTTACTCGTAAATAAGCTCTGACAGGTTTTTAGAAAGCCGCCGCTTCCTGAATTCCTACAAACACACGCGCGCGCAAGCACACGCCACGCACACGCACGCACGCACGCCGGCACTGTGCGTGTGTGGCTGCGTGCCGGTTGTGCGTGGCGTCGGCGGTTCGTGGCGTGCGTTTTACGTGTGGCTTGCTATGCTAGGTGAAGGCTCCAACCTAATAAATGCTATGATTATTTGGTAGTCGGCTATTCCTTTACCGACTCAGTCGTAACAATTATTTATGGACATAATTCTTACGACATCGGGATGCTATCTATACCCATAGATAAGTGTTTGGATACATAAGATAGTTATATAAGATAGCCGAGTTCTGAAGGAAATCTATCTAAACATGAAAAGAGATGCAATTTTTTTTAAAATTGGACCAAAACCCCCAAAATTATCTCACGCCTTCTGAAACTAATTTATAAGTAGGTAAACAGGCTGATAACATTTCACAAACATTTAAAGGGAAACAATTATATGGTGGTGTCAAAACCGCAAGAGAAATGGTGGGCATAAAATCTAGATGTCGCAAATAAACAGATTTTGGTCAAGAAGGTATATATGGTTACCACTTTGAGGTGACTGCTGGATACAAACCTTAGGTATTTTCGATACCTAGATATTGTTAGATTATTGCCACAAATAGATACTTACATCATATGAAAATTGTAGGACAGTGATTTATGTACGTTTTGTAGGCAGGGAGTGCGAGAACTATTAGCACGCTTTAATATTGTTGAATGATGAAAAAGTTTAAATGTATGGTCTGCGTGCAGGCGCATGGATGGCAATTGCTGGTTATCATAACATTCATTCTTGCGAAGAAGAGACTATTATATAGGCGTCCGAACATGATATTAAATCAACGCTTATAAATTTTGAGCTGTAAATTTACTACTCTACAAATGTAAGATCAGGGGTAAAAATCCAACCATGGCTGCAGCAGGGCAATATAAAAATATTATGAACACAGAAAAAGTACAAGCAAATTTAATAATAATGCTGGAAAAATTCTATGGTAAATGGTCCAGCTGTTTTATAATTTCTGTAAGGAAAAGTCCTACCCTGTACTACTGTGAATCTATATGCACACGTATATCTTTGTATTAACTATACAATAATCGAGAATGATATATAGATAGAATCCAGTAATCGATTACCTAACTCTTCTCTGTATGTATGTAGCTGTATATAATTCATCGGTTCTGGAAAAAAGGCATTAAAAAAAAAGAAAAAAGATAGGCACCGAGTGCGTTTATAGTTAGTGTTAGGGTTGGGTGGGGTTGTGGTTTAGGTTTAGGGTTTTTAGGTTAGTATTTTTGCATCATTCCTGATGTACGGAATGTATACCGGAGTATAATACAAGTTCCAACATTTGTGAACTGTGCATCGCGTTAGCGGACCTATTAACTATTAATGCGTTATGCGTTTGTCATGTCGTAAGAATATCTATAAAATAATTGTACGGCACTGGTCGTAAAATGCACGGCCTATTATTATACCTTTAATCAACATTAGTTAGCTATATTCATTAAAACCCGTGAGAAACCACATTAACAGTTTAACAGTGCCAATTCAAAAGGTTATGGTATATTATAAAGTGTGGTGTGTGTGTCGCTCTAGAAACATGAGAACGCGTCTAAAAACGTGAGAGGCATTGGGAGCCGGGTAAGCGCGGGCACGTTAGCACCTCCCGTTTCAAATTTTGCACACACGCGCGCACACACACATCATACACACAGTCGCGCACGCACGCACACACCGGTATTCACACACATACGGGCATGTGCACGCAAAATCACAAGCGCGCACCCAACGCACACACATACCACATTACCACACAGCACGGGCGTCACATCACATACACGCACTCCGGGTCGGATCGCGCGGGAGACCCGGCGTGGGACGACTAGGTTGCCGCACCCGGCCACACTGCACACTACACACCGGCCAATCACAACGACACCACACAGAACACCACACACACACAACATCACATACTGCAGCGCGTCTCTCATTGGGGTTTGTCTGCAATTTCGCCCCAACAGACTGTGGCGCGGCAGTGCTTGTGTTTAAGCAACGGAGCCGCATTGGCTTTGGTGTGTGCGTGTGTGGCGCATGCGGATTTGGCGTCTTAAATTTGGTGGCGGGTTCCGATGAATGCTGAGGTTTCTTCGGGCACATAACGTTTTAGAAAATTGCCTCCAAAAAATCACTTTACCATTCGAAAAATCGCGTTCTGACTGTAGCGGAATGTATTCGGGACGTCCGAGAAGGAGCCCCGCAGCTCGATTACGCGTGAAGCACACGCCGGCAACGGTTTCGCAGGAGATACGGAAAACGACACTTCGGCTCTTTCTACTATTATATTATAGATATTTATTGCATAGTTGAGAGGGAAACGCGAAGTTTAGTGAACTGAGTTGCACGAAACCGCAGTTCGTACGTAGATTCGTCATGGTAGTACCGGTATTACGGGTCCCTTTGACGAGGAAACTAATTTTAGTTACTACCAAAAATATGAGCGAATATGTGGTTCGTTTAGAGACTCGATAAGCATCAGGTCAAGAAGAGAGCCTGCACGGGGCGACACTGCCAGTGGACGGACGACAAAGCTGCGAAATATCAGCGGAGGAAGCGAATGTGACTCTTCATCCCTGCATCCTCGCAAGAGGATAGGCCAGCCTGGCCGCACTGAGCTGTGATGCGGGCATCTGCATCAGCCAATGGGAGAGCAGATTACAAAAAAAAATCTGGGGTCACGTGTATCTGGCGCTCGGATCGTATCGTTGCTCGTCGGGAAAGTATCCGAGGATTTCTCCAGTTCTTTGCAGTTTGCAGTCCTGGGATCGATACCTTGCCGTGGCCTCACCAGCGAAATCCACCAGCAGACGATAGTTTGCCTTGATGATCGCACCTCTCTCTTTCAGTCGTGTTTCGTAGATTGTGAATGCCTCGTGGACTAGGAAGGCACCGTCGAGAACGTGAAACTCGTAATCCATCAGGCACATCTCGAACACCTGCTGGATTTTATTGGAGCCGTAGCCCTTGAATCGTTCGTCGTACATCGGTTCTTGTTGTTTCTAAATCAGATTATTCGTTATTATTGACGTTGATAAAAGCGACCAGCGACCTAGTCGACCTACGAACTTTTTTAGGTGTGGGCCAGTGAGGGTGAGAGAATGAGAGGAGAAAGTATTATATATATAATATATATATATATATATATAATATAATATATAGTAGTAGAGAGAGAGAGAGAGAGAGAGAAGAGAGAGAGAGAGAGAGAGAGAGAGCGAGGAGAGAGAGAGAGAGAGAGCGAGAGAGGGAAAGAGATGGGAGAGAGAGAGAGATAGAGAGCGAGCAAGCGAGAGTGGGAGAGGCAGAGAGAGAGAGAGAGAGAGAGAGAGCGCGAAAGAGAGAGAGAGAGAGAGAGAGCGAGAGAGAGAGAGAGCGAGAGAGAGAGCGAGGAGATAAGAGAGAGACGAGGAGATGAGAGGAGAGAGGGAGAAGAGCGAGAGGAGAGAGAGAGAGAGAGAGCGAGAGAGAGAGAGAGAGAGAGAGGAGAGATGCGAGAGAGAGAGAGAGAGAGAGAGAGAGAGAGAGAGAGAGAGAGAGAGATGGTGGATAGGTTGTGTAAATACACTATACTTGTTTATTATAAATTGCTGCTATACAGTTGAATTTCTTAAAAACGCAAACCTACCGATAAACACTGGCTCCCAGAATGGCGCAACCCACTTTGTAACGAAAAAGACATCAAGGTCCTTTGATCGGTAAGTCGTATCCGTCCACATGTCGTAGTATGGAATCTTATGACATACGCCGCATCGCAGCTGAAAATATGATCGAGGTAATCGGTAAGCCATAGAAAAGTTATAAACAATGACATCGTGCCTTTTTATTTAGTGTCTATAGTGACTATTTAGTGTCTATTTAGTGACTATTTAGTGTCTTATAGTGATGACGTGTGTTAGTGATAAAATAATAATGATAATAATAAGGGGCAGTAACATGAATGCTAAAGGTATATATAGTATATCCCCGATGGCACCCACAACCTGGCACTGCCCCCACATACTCGAAAAGCATGTTCTAAACTTTTGTCATTCGTCGTTAGGCAGAAAAATAAGAGAAGCTTTTATTTCGGTTACGATCCGATCCGTGAAAAACACAACGAATTAGAACAACCTCCTGATTTTACGCTCATTTTATCTACCTTGTTGTTTGTTTACCATTGATATTTGTTATTTGTTATACGTTGTACGACGAGTACGAGTACGAGTGTATAATCGGCAATGAAAGGGAGATAACCTTGTGAAAGTAGACGGCCTTCTCGGCGCTTAGCAGCTCGACCAGCTGAGTCTTGTCTTCGGGAATCTTTTCTCCGTCCTCGACCTCGAACACTGGAAGCACGTAGACGATGCTGTGTCCCTGCCAGCGCGGGTCGGGCGCGGCGCGGTGGCGGGCTAGCATCGACAGGAACGCCTGCTCCAACCCCGCGCTCGGCTTCAACTCGATATCCATGACGAGCACGTGATCGGTGCCGACCGTCTCTCGCGCCGTGTTGCGCGCCGCGTTCACCGGATACAGCCCGTACTTCGCCGTCTGCCGCGCGCCGGCGACCTCTAGCGGGAAGCGCAGCTCGGCGCACGGCGTCTCGTCGAGTCGGAAGAGCTTGGCTTTGTCGGCGCGGTTCGGCCGCTGGTCGTCGCCGTAGAGCAGCGAGAAGGTGACCTGCGCGCGCACGCGCGGGTAGCAGCGACGCAGCAGCTCGATGGTCTTCGTCGCCGCCATGTAGGTGTCGCCCGGCGTGTAAACGGCGACGACGATCGGACCGTCCCAGCGACGCGTCAGATCGACGACGTGATGCACGTACTCGACGGACGCCTGCGTCGCTATCGTCACGCGCGCCCTCTCGTAGCGCGTCGTCGCCCGCGCGATGCCGATGATCTTGCGGTACTTGTCCCTGCGTCCGATCTGCGCGAGCAGGTCGTTCATATCCGGTGACGCAGCGTCAGCGTCGTCGTCGCCGCCACCGCGAGTGAGCAACAGCAGCCACATGGATACGCCGACGCAGGCTATCAGCAGGAGGGCACTCTGCTTCCAGAACCTGAAGTAGCGCCGCCTGGCGTACGCTCTGGCATGTCTGTCCAGCCACAGGTTGACTCTCAGAACGGCACGAATCAACTCGACTGCCACCGTCATGGTCGACGTCTGAGTTCGTGCACGCGGTGAAGAAACTCGCTTCTCTGGTTACCTCACCTGACGCTTAGCTATGCGTGTAGATCGAGTGCGACGATTTCGCGTGTTCTAGCTAATTGCTCTACGATTGAACAGCATATCGAACGGGACACACGTTGAGGAGGATGCTGTTATAATCTCGTGCGTACAGTAAATCAGTCATCTCTTCTAATTAGGATAGCAGCACTGCAAATGTTCATCACGCCAACATCCGACCATTCCATCGCGCCGTATGGAACCCCGTACAGGCCGATATAACTAAGAGGCTTTAACAATGCATTGCAAACTCGCTGCTCGAAACTGGTTTGGCGAACGTGGGAAATCATACAGCGAGACTGCCAGGAACTACAGCGCCATGTCTGCTGGGGTTCAGTGACATTGGTTCTAGTATTTCGATGTAAGTGAAACTAATAGCAGAGATGAGCGGCCGCGGTACGTACTGGAATCGCCCAACCGCAGATCTAGGCCGCCTTGTTACTGACTCTTGTATCACTGAACTTGTATCGCGGACATCGACATCATCCTGCATGTGATGCATCTGCTGGTCAAAGCCCTCGTGTTCTGGTTTTTCGTTAGCGGGCTTAATTAGTGTTCCGCTTGCTACGCAGCGGATCAGCGGATGTATACGCGTGTGCAGCAAGATATTTTTCATCTTAAACAGGAATAGCAGTAGGGATATCCTCATCGCTGGGAATTATAGTTTGTCCCTATCGGCATCATAAAAAGTTACGTGGATGTACGTGTTAGCATGTACAAACAATACGTATTATTTGCGTAACATCATACAGATTGCACGTCAAGTACCGATAAGCCACTGTTTTCTAGTCTTCCTAAAGTACTCTGTGTGCGCGTGTGTGTCTGCGTGAGTGCGTGTGTGTGTGTCAGCTGCCGTAGCTAAGGGGGGGCCCAAGGGGCATGCCCCCCTGTTGATTGGCAAGCAAACAAAATTTTCCTTTGCTCTCACGCGTCTTACAGGGACTGGCCACAATTCCTGTTACTTCTGCATCTGCTGAACGAACATTCTCTAAAATGAGCATTGTCAAGTCTAAACTTCGTTCTACAATGACCCAGCCACGATGCTCTGCTCTCATTCTCCTTTTCGTTGAACAGGAGTTAGTGAATGACATTAATGTCAACGAATCCTCAAAATGTTCTGTGCATGCAAATCGACGAGAAGACTTGACTTTGGAATTTGAGATTTCTGCAGCAGACAAAAACTGACTAAAAGAAAGGAGATAATTCTTCTTTGCTCAGATTTGTGTTGTTGCAAGTTGGCTCTGATTGAATTTTATGGTTCTGAACTCTTATTGAAAAAATGAAATGCTTTGTGAATAACTTTGATATATTCGAACTTATAGAGCGGCATTTTGGCATCCACCTCGGTTTTTATTTCAAATCGATTTCAACACTATTTTAAGTAACTGTTCTCTATCAGAGGAGGCAAAAACAATTCTTTCATGGTAAATTTCGTTTTATTTTAATAGAGCGGCTATTTTGGCAGCCACCTTTTTTATTTGAAA